ATCCATGAAGAACAGAAAGCACGTGGTCGAATAAAGTAAATTTTGCAATTATTGGTTGAATATTGTTTCTGTTGGAGAGAGAATATAAAAAAAAACGTTTTGCACAAAGATACAAAACAAATATGACTTTAGATTGTCACTGAGTAGCATATCCTTCACGTAAATCATTTATTTGAAGATGCCCTTCAATAACTAAATTGGTGTCGAATGCATTTACAACAAGGAATTTTTCGAAGTACTCATAGAGAGATAAACTAGACCAAATACATTTCTTCATGATGTCAATTACGGTAAAAATTCTATTTTTTGTCGTGTGGATCATTTACGAAATAATGTATGTCAAAAAAACCAATTCAATAATTCGATTGTGCGGTGTGTGGATGTCAGTGTGGGTGTGAATTAGGAAAAAGATCTATAACCTGCACATTGATACACCCATTCACATCCGAGTTATAAAAAGAGCTCAGCCCTTACAAAGGAATAAATTCCGTAAGGTTTGAAATTCTTTTCTTCTTAAGCTTACCAATGAGAAAATCGGTGAAGAAAAGTCCGGCTCTGCAAGCCGAGAGCATCTTTTCGATGTTTTATCGCTTTCGAAGGAGAAGCAACACAGTGTATCAAACTGAACATGTCACAAGATGTACCACAAGTTTCTACATATATTACTATAAGAAAGAATATTTTAAACTCATTCTAACTTGGCAAAAAATGTCTTTTATGCGTTTGTGATTTATTAATTGAACAGTTGATATTTTTGTCGTATTCAATAATTCTGATTCTACAAACGAACGACAAATGCTGATTTGAAAGAGAAAATATCAATAAATTTTCAACAAAACTTTCTGAACGAGTCTAATTTTATCAATTGTTGAGAAAAAGTATTTTACATTGCAACATGTATAAACCAAATATTGGCCACAATTTGTATATTACTTCATTGACAACCACGAGTGTCTGATGTGATATCCTGAAACATCTGCAGGCCAGAACGATGAAACAAACGGTTCTAAATCATTGATAACATATTTTATGGAATCATTCCAATAATAATGCTGCTATACTCTTGAACAGAATTAGCTCAATTACAACAACGTTTTACTTGCTTTGAAAAGATACAGAGAAACATAATTGCAAAGAGAATACTGCAGTGTCACGGTCTCATGAAAACCGAATGTCTAATACGAGATTATCAGCGACATTTCACTGACCTTTCTATACAGTCGTTATAAAAGATGCAACGAATATACTAAACATCTGCGCTGACTTCTTGATGTGCTATTCATTCATTTTGACTCTTACAGAATAGTTCGTCGATAAATCAGCTTGTGATCTATTATCGAATCCATAAAAAATGATAAGTAAGGTGCACTACGCAATAGGATCAAAAGTTGTATTCGACAGTTTTCCCCATTATGATACGATAATATCTCAAGTAATTTTAATCGATCGAAATTTGGAATCAGGGACCAAAAATGATCAGAAACAGAAAGTCTTATGGAAAGTTTTTCCAGTTTACAAAATGTCAAATTTATTAATGATGTGTAATTTGACACATCGAGCTCGTAAGTCAAAGTGCGCACATGATCACAAGACCATTGTTTATTATTTTGAGGATAGATCAATTTCGAGAGAAATTATGAACAAACCGAAAATGTCGCAAAAACATATGGCAACGTGTAGAGACAAATCATCGAACTGTCTAAATACCAATCATGTTCATTAAGCTAAAATGGACTGTTAAACGAGTTGAATACCTCGCTAATTTGTATTTGATTATCAAGATGAAGTTCCATTTTAAATTGTAAGCGATCGAGTTTTCGTAAATATTTCTAAACAATATCCTTCCATTCCCGTCCAATCATGTAGTGATTTACAATTTCACCCCGTGTACTAAATCTTAACTTGCATAAATTGATCATTCTTGGTACGTGTTGTACGATTTCCGAATGTGAATATTCTAGTAATTCTAATCTAATGATCGCTAGAATAGATGATGCCAATGTAAAATCATACGGAAGATAAGAACTTGATGCAGAAAAAGATTGGAGATAATGTGTGTGTTCAAAGAGACCAGTTATTTCATAACTTTTGTCATCATCATCTGAAATAGATAGATGTCTGATACTGGATGAGATTACTACTGATTCAATGCAATAGTCATCAGATATATAGCACCGAAAAGTATGGCTAACATAACAATGTGAAATATTTGGTAGGCTCCACATAGTGTTGATTAGAATGAACATAGTCTCATTATCAGTTTTAAAGTTTCAATGCTTGAAGAATAAATGAGGTAAATTTGATAAGTGCGACAAAACCACAATGATTTCGTTCATAATATCATCATTAATATAAAACAAAGTAAGTGATTTCAATTGGATGAATTGATGGAGAGAAAAATCATATGCATAGAATTCAGTCACTTGTTCAGCTGTATCTTCATGATAAACAAAACAAAGATGAGTACTTTGATCAATCATAGATGGAAGATACTGTCGACAGATAATGTCAAAGTTATGTATTGATAATGAGCCAAAATTAAATCCTTGAATTTGAAAATGATGAATGAGAAGCAATTCAGCTGGTGTAGGTGTACACACGACCCTGATTATAACACCCACACTCTTTTCGTGAGCTTTAAGAAGAACAAGATGAGGATGTTCAATGATTGAGAAATGTTGATTGTCGTTCATTTGTAGTTTCTCATGAGTTAAAGATACTTTTTTCATAAATGAAAATTATTGAACAATTCGAACAAAAAATGCATGTTCATCAAATAATGATATTCTAGAGATATGTTTGAATAATTTACCTAGAAAATGATTTGTGATATTATTGTAATACTTTACATTATATGGATATAAATAAATATGACATTGACCTGTTTTTTTTTGCTTTTAGAAAATAATCAACAGACGAAATTATTTGATCATCTTTAAAATCTTTGAATGCATGTTGAATATCTTCATTTGATATTAAATCAATTCGATCATAAAGATGAATATTTGAGCAAATATTAAATGTAAATTTCTTTAATCATGTCGTATGATTGATAGTATTTCTCTTAAAATCATTATCATCAATAAATGCTGTTTTTCTAATTTCCACATTCGATTTAGCAATTATACAATTAATTCATCATAACTATCCGTCTCTTTGCAAAGTTTATGGAAAAGCATTTTAACTTTATTTAGTTTATGTTAGAAAAAGACAATAATATTGATTCATTTAAATAAAATTAAATACTCATCAAAATAATTTACTTTATTATACATTGATAATTGACTCCAACAGATAATGTCAGAAATATTAACATGAAATGCACGAAACTGATTGAAATGTCCATCAAGTACATAAAGACAATCGTTAATACTTCCGAAAGTGATATGTAATTTCAACAGATTTGAAGAGGAAAAGGTTGCATGTCAAATGTCAAATGATAATTTTTAATACCAACTTAAAAATGGATTGAAATTAAAATACTGTAAATTGACGAACATAGAAAAGATATGTGTAAATATAAATTCAAGCACCGTGTGTCTGGTATTTGGTAAACAAAACTGCCTCTGCAATCGAAAGTGCATTAGTGACAGATTATCAAACATGTTGCAAGCTCTGAGATACTCAGCAGACGAGTGATATAAGCCCCATTTTCATCTGACAGTTGTCTAAAAAGAGATTTATTGACTCATTTCGCCAAAAAAGTATAGCTTTCACATTGTTACATTGCATTTTCTTTTGCCTGAAAAATAGACAGAAGTTCTTACGTAATTTCATTCTGAGAGTAAAACTGACTTACTGGAACGATAAAATTGTCTTTGCACTACTCGTGGATTAGGAAGAAGATGGATTTTTATTCGATGCAGTTATGCTTTTTAAGAAACGATCTGATATTCTGAAAGCTTGTGGAAAGCTGAACAACTTTCATATAGAACATTTATTTATATATCGCTTCGTTTCGTAGTAAAATGCTAAACTCTCACCCCAACCTAAAAACAATTCCATTGTTTGAAATTCCGTGACGGTCGATGCCTTCTGAATAGCTCAAGTCTGGCTAAAGAAAAAGTAATGAGATTGGTACTGGTGGTAGATCTAAATAGTCTGTATCTATGACAAAAATTTCAGAGAGTTTTCATTGACTATTGATAAGATATAGGTGTTACAATGTAAAAAAAAATGAAATTCTGTGACTCTTGGCCATGTCGTAGAAAAAACGGCAAAGAAAATTCTTGGAAACGTTCACGTATAATATGAATTTCACTTATGTTTCAAATTTTACCGAACACTTCAATACCTTCAAAAATAAGATAATAATGTTCGCGTTTTTTTTTAGTTCATACCAATCGATAATCGTCTCTATGAAGCGAACGCTATATAAGCCGTTGATTTTTTACAATTCTATTTATCGTAATCTATTTTTTCAGACTGGACATTGACAACATTATATCAGCATTCACTTTTTGGCACGTACAAAAACAATTTCAATTAAGGTGTAAAAATAGGTTTGGCGAAAGTATGAGTGTGAATACGTTCTTTTTTCGTATCCACACTCTTTCCTGGGATGCCAGTAGCATTACCTGTGATGATAGAATGGTTATCTGGATGCTAGAGACATCACCTGTGAGGGTACGGGATGTGGGTGGGCGTATGAGTGGATGGGTGTGGGGGAGATAAAGACTAAAACGCACACTCACCCACACCCGGGATTTTTTCTTGTGGGTTTTTTTAAAATTATTAATTAATCAGTGATCGATTAAGATCTATTAACTTCCTAAATAAACATCAAGAGAAGATGTGGGTGAGGCTAAATAGAAGACTCACACTCTTTATTGTGTCAGTCCAGGACCAAGTATATCGACTCTCGATGAACGTTACTTGTTTATAATAGGCGCAATCTTTTTCTTAGACAAAATGAATAAGGATCGACTAAAATAAGCAAGAAAATACAAAAACAGCATAAGTAAGTGTAAACAGAGTTCCTGTCGCTAGGATTTGTACTATTAATTGACAATAGTATTTTCAAAACATTGAAAGAGTCTGATATGAATATCTAAAATTGTCTGATAGAGTTTCTTCGACAAATCAATTGGCAGAAATGTATCTCCATTTGAGAGAAGAATCACACCGATATTGTTCGACTTATCAACGAGCATCAAATGTGTCATGCCTGGCAAGCCACCACCATGTCCGACGTATCGATGACCATTATTCAATGTTTGCCAATGCCAACCAAGTCCAAACTTAAGTGATTGACGTATTCCCGTAGAATTACTACTGGAGTCATCAATATAATAAGGGAGGAGATCTCCACCCACTATTGTTTGCATTTCAGCAACGCTTCTAGAAGTTAATAATGAAGATCCATTATTAATAAACATGCGCAGGAACACAGATAGAGAACGAGCTGACATGCGAAGAAGACCAGATGGATAAGTATTAAAACTAAAGAATGGAATGTGCAACCATGTTGGAAGATTTTCCTAAATAAATGTTTATTGAATTAAATCACTGCTACACAATAAGAATATTGACAGATTACCGAAATCGGCGTAATATTCATTTGTGGCATTATTTGATTCCATGCTGGAAGAAAGGACTCATTGAATCCATACGTGTAATGCTTAACAAGTTCTTCTCTGCTTTCAAAATCATCTAGACGATAGCCTGTTTTGCGAATATCAATGTTCAATGGTTTCAAAATATTTTTTTTGACATATTGATCATAAGGCATTTTCGTTACACGCTCAACTACTAATGCAGCTAGGGATGAACCTTCATTGGAATAAAATACTACACTGCCTGGTGGTTTTGGCAACCAATTCGATGTATTCGGATTCAAATATGTAAAGCTCGTGTCAGCCAAAGTTGTTTGAGTAAATGCAATATCATCCAGCTGTAAGTAAGTGTCTGCCGAAAGATTTTGAACAGCAATAGAAGCTGAATGAGAAAGTAGTTTTCGTAGAGTGATCGAATGAGAAGGATATTGTGGATGGAAAATTCTTTTATGGGGTTCTGATAAATATTCGTTGACGTCTGTATCAAGATCAACAAGTTCTCGTTCAACTAGTTGCATAACAGCAACACCAATAAATGTCTTTGAGATAGAGGCGAGAATAAAAATTGACTTATCTAGGTCCATAGCCACTATTGGCGAAAGAGATTGATAACCAAAAGCTTGTTCATAGAGTATATCACTGGCATTGACAACAATAATTACCGCACCTGGAATATGTACCTTATTGAGAGAATGCTCAATAAATTGTCGATTTGGACAACTTAAATCAGTGCTGTCAGCAGCATTAAATACGAGAACAAGGATAAACAACAATAATAACATCATGTTTGATTCTGTTTGACAAAGAAAATAATCCTTTTTATCCTAGTATTGGATTAGATTGTCATTAAATAGTGCAAAATGTCGTAGGCTTATGAATCATTGATAGAAAAATAACAATACGGATGAAATCATGTTGTTATCTCCATCTCCCTTTTCTTTATTTTAAAGGAAGAAAAAACTCGTCGCTGAATTTGTCACAAAAAAAAAAGATTTCAGCTCAATCGGGCGTGAGTATGGATGTGAATGAACAGACGATTGGCACCCGCACTCATATCCTGAGAGCGATCACTGGTACTGTTAATCAAAAATATGGAAAAAGGCATTTTCTGTTTCATATATCATGTCTTTCTTTTATCATACACACCCGATAACATTACTTCAATCAGTACATCAATTTATATGAATAAACGCATAGAGAATAGATACAAATTGTTTGCTTATCCTTGAGAAAAAAACTATTCTTTTAAAAAAGAACGAGTTATTATATTTTTTTACCCAAAAGTACACGAGATCAATCTCATGTATAGAAACGCAGAAGCACACTTCATCTTTCCTACAAATATGGTCTAATGATCAAGTCTTCGAGACAAAGAATTGCATGTAAGCGCGCAGCGAACCGAAAGCATCATGGATTTCTTTGTTTTTTTCTTAGTGTGGTTAGTTGTCTCTGTTATAGTACACTTCATATTATGATTAACGATGCAACATCGCGTGACTATTGCATGGATATAGCGTCTGCATCAAAGCATCTATCAATTGTGTGACTCAATGAATTCATTATTAAGCGTTTAGATGCAGGCATGGCTTGTTGTTTTGGTGCCATTCATACTGCAGCATAGTTGATCATAGAATTCCCATGCAAGTCTCTTACGAATCGGACTGTAATCATCAACAAGTTCCATATTGCTATAAAATGTATAATAGTCTCCGGCAGATAGCGATTTACCGGAAGTTTAGTCATATCTACAGTGAAAAGATGCTTCACAAAACGATGTCATGTTGAAACAGACGTCTTACTTCGATTTGCGCTAACGACAGTTTTCTTCTGATGATTCTATCTTGCCCAATGGATGCGAGACTACTTTTATTCACTAACATCTGCACTCACACCGTTACTAATAAAAACGATTACTTTAGTATGAATAAACATGTTTGTTTTCGTTTTTCTTGACGTACGTCAAACGAAAGAGATGTTCACAGAATTGTTTTTATAAACAATTAAAGCGATTTAAACCAATTGAAAGAACAAATAAACTTGCTTCACGCATTCCTTTATATCTCGATAAACTCACAAACTATGATGTTAAATATTTTCCAAAATTATAACTGGATCAGGTCACGTTTTTTTCTTTCATATAGATCATATGATACTTGTGCAAAGCTCAGAAACTGCACTATTTTGAATAATACACAAATGCATGATAGCCATTCAAGCTTCGACGAAAGTTTTGAAATATTCTAAAACTCTCTTGAACATTCGAAATGTTATTGTTAATATCGTTCATCGCCTTTTTTCCATAGCTAAGAAACTTTGGCAAAGAAATTTAATGCCTGTTGTTCTCGGTTATTATGTAAGCAGGGGAAGAGAAATGAGCCAGAAAATCTGGACTAAAAACTTACACTCATTATATTTTTGTTCGAAAAACATAATATGAGTTCTACAAAATAATGGAGTGCATTATATTTATAATCGGCTCGTAAATTCGTCAGAAAACAACATAAAACGTAGAATATATCTCATTATCACATTATTTTCTTGATTTAACGAAGCTCATAATATCAAATTTGAATATGTCATACAAACAACAGAATATTTAGAATCTAATTCACGAATGAAGAATAAATTCATATTGATAAAAGAATCTTCTCAACTAGTAAATCGGTTACTATTTCTATCAAATTCATAAGTAGTCAAATGTGCTTTAGTTAATAGTATCGAAAAATCTTTGAGTAATTTGTAAAATATTAAAATAGTAACTCTCTACATATGTTCATTTTCTCTCTTGAAATACCTTTAATTTTTCGGAATAAAGTTCAATTTTATTTACTATTAATGCAAGAATTATAATTAATATATAATTGTCGAAGAAGAAATGGGTTCGATATTTGATAGACCACATCAAATAATGTATTATACATAAATAAAACAATTCTAAATGAAAAATGTTGAAATTGAAAGAAAAAATAAAGTCAACAAACCAATGACGATGATATAAAAATTCATCAGGTGAAAATCCATTTACAATAATACGCAAATTTTCTGTAAATTTTTTTCATGATTCAATAATCTTTTGATGGAATTCGTTTAATAAACTCAGTTCGATGATTCCGAACTGCGGAAGCAATCGAATTTCACTGGAATTGGCAACAAAACATCGAAAATCGATGGAACATGAAGACAGTATTCTAAACTGAAGAGTTTCCAGATTTTTTCCAATGATTCATGACTGTTTTCTGTCGGAAAGAACAGGAAGTTGGCCGAAAGTCCCTGGAAACATCCACAAACTTTCTGATACGGAATATTGCTTCCATGTTTCATCAATTTCCGGCATTTTCCTGCCGGAACCGGCCCATATTTCTTGATCTCAGGAAAAACACAACAAAGAAAAAGAAAAGGCTTACCTTGTTTTTTTTTTATTTTGAAGTAAATTGATTTTTCGACCACGGTGAATATTCTTTTCAGATAATTGTGAACGATCTTATGTTTGAAATGAACTTTTCAGAAAAACATCGTTTAATAGCACAAACAAAGCATTTGCAAAATGAATACTGTGTTTTATTCACAACCGAGCTTGTTCCAATATAGACGTAATTTATGGCATCACAAATGAAACTTTTCTTTTCTAAATATGAATAAACACAACGAGCAACAAACGAATTTGAATAGTCATATGGATCTGTCGTACTGCAATAAGAAATCTCAAAATGATAAGATTAATATCTTTTATTATTCTAGCATTTTATTTATTTTAGTTCTGTAATTGTGGAATACTACCAACATGGTTTGATGATCGATTATCATGGATACTAAATGCTTCAATTAATATTGAAGTAGTTATGCTACCGGTTAAAAGTATATGGATACCAGATACAATGATATTGAATTCAGCAGATGCAAGTGGTTATCTCACAGTGAGTGATTATAGTTTGGCATCTGTCTACTACACAGGTCAAGTGTATATGATATTACCAGCATTAACAATAAAAACAAGATGTAACTTTTATGTTAAAAAGTTTCCATTTGATAAACAAATATGCAGCATCAATCTAACATCATGAAGTCAAGGATACAATAGAATCATATATACACAAAATCGTAGTTTAGTAATTGATACTAGTGGATATAGTGAACATCCTTTATGGGAATTGAATGATATAGATTTGGCTGTAATTAATGCAACAGATAGGGCACCATTTGAAGATACTTATAATGCTGTAATATCAATACAGTTATTTCTACAAAGAAAACCATTATTTTTTATGATGAATGGTATATTTGCATGTTTTATTTTAAATTGTGTTACATTGTTATCATATGCATTACCTTTTGCACCACAAATTGGTTTATGTAAAAATATTTTCTTTTCTTGAATACTAGATAGAATTTATAAAATAAATATATTGTATTTATATTTTAGGTATGACTTGTTTTATGACATACTCTGTTTACTCACTAAATTTTTCTAATCTATTTTCACAACAGTCTCAATATTTAATGATGATTACATTATATTTTTTGTTATCAATTTGTTGGACATTATTATCTATGATGTGGTTTATCGTATATAATTATTTTACAACAAAAGCTGAAATGCCGAAGTCACTTTATGATTTTTGTGGACGATTGCCAAGAGTGTTTTTCTGTTGTTTTCCATTAGTAAAACAAGATAATAAGATAAATCAACAGAAGGATGTTATTGCTGAGAATCAAACAGCGAAACCAAAATGCAACTTCTGCAGCAGATGCGAGTCTTGCCAAGTTGATTTTGATAAAGATAAAGTGAAAGGCAAAAATAAAAAAGAAATTGAAACTAGATGCAATGCTTTAAATTATTTGGTCTTTCTTTGTCTATTATTATGCATGTTTGTTTCTAATTTGGCTGTATGGCTCTCAATGTCAAAATAACTGAGTTTAATTTATTTCTTTGACCATAATATCTTCTTTTTTTTTATACATATTATTAAAATTAAAATAAAATAATTGCACATCTTTTGCCTTTTGATGCATATATATTCGTTCTAGTTTGTTTGGCCAAGACAAAAAAAGCGAGACATTTTTTTAGTCTTTTTCACCGATCAGTTTTAACTATCGTGCCATTTAATTGTCTATCTGCCAATCCCTATGAAATACCAACATAATTGCTTGAATGATGGTGAGAAACTAAAAAATCAAAAAGTTAAAAGTCAAAACAAAAGACAATTTAAAAAAAATAGGCTACGTTTTGTTCGTTTTCTTTTTCAGGTTTGATTTTTGCTCCGTCGATTATCATTCTTCTTGTTCATAAAACTCCATTCATACGTAGATGAAGTTGACATCAAATTCAAGTCATACCAGTGTTGCATTGTCTAAGAGCATATTCCAAGTGCGAATTGGCGAGGTCTCTCTTATGGTATAATCACATTTTCCATAATCCAAATCATCTGTCCAAAAATATCAAAATATTGATATTTCACTATACGAAATAAAATATCAGTGAAGTAATTCTGGCGGTGGTCCATGTAGGAACTTGCTTCAGAGAGTATGGGTGGGTATGGGTGTAAATATAGGTTACTGCGAAAGTGAACTCATATCTCACACTCACCATGTATTAATTGTTTTAATGATTTTAATATTCAGTATGGTAGTATCCAAGCACATGTCACTTTAGCAAGACTCTTGTTTTGCAAAATTCTTGAAAACCGTCATTCTGTCTTCTTTATGTCTGAAAACATCTGACTCAATTGTGAATCCAGTGTTATTTAGTGATCATAACAATAATTATTTTGATGAATTTGATGTTCTTATTTCTAGCATAAGAAAATCTGACCCTTCAATCAGACTTTTGACTTCGAAAATGATGATAGACCATTATTTCCTATCCTCAGTAATTCGATGAAGAGTTACATGTCTGTGTGTACGATATGAAAAGAAAGAGAAAAAAATGCTTGCTTTATGCCTTTTTTTTACTATGGTACATACCATGTGAAAGAAAAAAGAAAATGTACATTAACTAACGACATACGAATCAAGTAACTATGTTCTGTTTGACAGCAAATATTTGACTAGTGTGAATTTCTTTATGTTACTATATACGGAGGATTGATATTGACATAAGTCATAGTGATGCCTTGTTTCTACGTTGATAGATTCGAGGGAATACCAATAAATTACATTTTTAAAAGCATTCTGTTTCTTTAAGATAACTTATGCGATGTAGAAGAAAAATCATTTTATGGCTTGTCATTTGAAATAAATTTCTGACAAATAGTGTGGCGTTCTATGCTGAGAGCATTCTTCGATCACGTTTAACCTTTTCTGGCCCTTCCTTGTCAACATATCTATTGTCCTTCATCCTTTCATAACTATGATTAGCTCGTTGCCTGTTTTTTCGACAAGTATACATCTATCATTTTCCATAATTATTTTTCCTCTTGTTCTATCTTCCTCTTCTCTCTCTTTCTTGGTTGCGTATATCAACGCGTGTTGTGGATGTAAACAATGCGATTATTGATACGAAGAAGCTAAATAAAGCGTAATTCTATCCACACAAGCATCTCTTCTATCTAAAATGGTTACAAATAGTTTATTGGATTTTACTTTGAATTTTAGAATGACTGTGTATCAAACAAGACTGACAACTATAATTCCTAGCAAAACTGCTGTGTTGTTGGTTGATGTACAAAATAGTGAGATCAGCATTGAACACCAACAAAACACACCTTGGTACTATCAGCAAATAACTGAAATTTGCATACCAAATATGATTCATATCATCAAAATCGTACGTCCATTGGGTATGGAAATCATGTATACTACTATCGAAAGTCTCACTCGGAATGGTCGAGATCGAAGTTTGGACCATAAGCTATCAAACATCTTTATTCCAAAAGGATCATCTGAAGCTGATGTTATCAGTGCTGTGGCTCCTGCTGAAGACGATATCTGGCTAAAGAAGACAAGTTCTGGTGTGTTCAATTCTACAAATATCGACTATGTATTGAGAAATCTTGGTGTAGAATTCCTTGTGGTTATGGGTTTCTTAACAGATCAATGTGTTGATATGGCTGTACGCGATGCCGCCGACAAAGGTTATCAAGTGATTTGTATATCAGATGCCTGTACAACTCATACTCAAGAGCGACACGAAAATGCATTGCGTGCTTTTGGTGGCTACTGTCGTATTATGACTACAAATGAATTTATTCAAGAGATTCAAGGTACTGTACTGCAATGATACTTTTGTAAAACTTTGCGAGACATATCACGGATTCTTCTAGGAATATATCAGTATAGTCTTTCTTAGATCGATTCACTATTCAGCATTGATAAGCTTTTCATGTGAGAAAGAAACGTTCTCTAGGCAAACACAGATGCACCTTACATTAACTAAAATTCTGTTTATCTAATATTATTTTATAGGTAGCAATAATTTTAAGAACAGCGATTCTTCGATAAAAGTATCTATCAATGATCAACAGAAAAATTTATCAGTATCCGTTCGTTCATATCTTCAACCAACTGTACTAACAATGCTAGTCACAACGGATCTAACCGGTATTACACGAGGTCGGGCATTCCCAACAGAAGCTATCGATGATTATTGGAACAGTGGATGTGGTTGGGTACCAGCTAGCAGTGCTCTAACACCACAGGATGTCATTGCTGATTCGAATCCGTGGGGTTCACATGGCGATCTACGATTATTACCTGATCGGAAGAGTCGAGTTCGAATCAGTAATGGACCAGATCCAACAGCACCGATTTTCGATATTATCCATTGCGACATTATCGAAACTGATGGTAAAGCTTGGCCTGTTTGTCCACGTGAGCTTCTTCGTCAAGAAATTGAACGTTATCAACAGATGTTGGGTTTACGAGTTATAGCTGCCTTCGAACATGAATTCACATTGAATGGACGACAATGTATGAGTGATTTACCAGCATTCTCTTTGCGAGCTCACCGTCACGTGGCTGATTTTGCTGGGTGGTTAGTTGCTGCTCTTCGATCTGCGGGCGTTGAACCAGAAATGTTTCTGCCCGAATATGGGCGAAGTCAGTATGAAATCACTTGCCGACCTACTGAAGGTGTTGCCGCTGCAGATCGTGCCGTTAATGTGCGTGAGATCACTCGAGATATTGCTCGACAAATGAATATGCATGCTAGTTTTTCACCGCAACCATATATCGGAGCCATAAGCAATGGTGTTCATTTGCATCTGAGTATTCAAGATCTTGACGGACATCCATTACTCTATCAAAAAGGACGTCGTTATGATTTGTCGGAACTAGGCGAGCATTGGGCAGCTGGCGTACTGCATCATTTACCTGCACTCTGTGCACTTACTGCACCTACACCTGTTTCTTACATGAGACTGAAACCGCATCACTGGAGTGCAGCTTATGTTTGTCTCGGTTATCGCAATCGTGAAGCTTCTTTGCGTATCTGTCCTACTGTAAGCCTTGGAAACCGATCGATTGCTGATCAATACAACATAGAATTTCGTCCATTAGATGCTACGGCTAGTCCACATCTGAGTATGGCTGCCATACTCATTGCTGGACGACTTGGTATTCAGAAAAATATGAACCTGAAAGCAATAACTGACATCGATCCTCATGAATTAAGTAATAATGAGAGAGAGACGCGCGATATCATTATCTTACCGTCGAATCTCTCTGACGCTATAGAAATGCTGTTGAATGACAATGATCTTATCCACGGATTGCCAAAGCCGATGGTCGATACGTATTTCGCTATGAAAAAGCACGAATTAAAAATAACTAGTGAACTCACTGACCAAGCGGTCTGCGAACAATATACACGTATCTATTAATCGATTGAATTGTACTGCATAGATTATTTATCATTTTTCATGTAATCCTGTATACATTCTTATTTCAAATAGTTATCTTGTTTCTCACAATGTGATCCTATCTTTCACACTTCCAACTAGGCACGCAATTTTTGAAAAAACAATATGTTGTAACGCACATTACACAATTCCTTTTGATTGCTTGCGGCAGTCAAACCAGTGAAATCTGATTTGTCGGGTACTTTCAACCTTGTATACACCGCCAGTTTATTCCATTTCATCAAGCCAACTCATTAAAATTCAAAAACCTCTATATTTCATTCATTGTGATATTTTCTATTCTAATCGACCTAATGCAAACGTTCTAGTTACATTCTAATTAATTAAACAATAATAGAGTTACAGACAGCGAAAACTCCTTTCAAGAAAATGAGGGTGTAGGTGTATCCTCAATTCACCGACAGTCACACGTCTACATTCTAGCCGGATAAAAAACAAAAGACAATGTTTTACAAGAAAGTGACCGGATACCCATGGATCTCCATCATATCATTCTCACGGACTCGATTCGCTTAGAAGAAATGAGATGCTGATATGTGGACGACGAGGTGCTGTTTTTTATTCAATTTCGAAGGAGTCCATTATTCATACATAAACTCATGACTTGAACAACTTTCATATGTGACTTGTTCACATTTGCTAATAAACCACTCACGTAAAAAAGTGTCGAAACAATTTGATTATGATCTTTTTTTGTGATTAAAAATCGATTATAACGAAACTATTATTATACTCAATTTTTTGGTTTTAATAAATTCTTTTTGAATTTTTCTTCATAAACCTTGAGAAAGCGATTAACTCTACTTCATAGAGAAATTGTGCAAGTTGCAAGAACCCAGTGTCATGTATTGATGATCTCTCTAGCTTTGCGTTATTTGATATATTGCCATATCCTAGACGGAATATTGCACACTACTCGCTGAGACAGATTTTACAACAGTACATGGCAGATAATTGAATCTAAAGGAGTTGAAGATTTCAGTTCCTGTTCTGGTTAGTCTTTTGCTTCGATCTAATTATGGCATACCAAAAGTTCGGGCAGTGACAGTTTAATATCGTTTAGTATGCTTAAATAATTTTTCTTCTATATAGGATGATAGAGAAAAAAAAGCTCTATCTTTCTATACTATTTGATTATACTTCAATTAATATTATAATATTAAATTATCTATAAAACCTATTTTGGCTGGTTGTGAAGTGGTTGTAGGAGATCATATTTTGTTTTTCAACATGTATCATCTTATTATTATTCTCTTTATTTTTTCAAGTTTTTATGTCATCAGATGTTTTTCTATATTCTTCTTTATCTAAAGAGTTCATGAAGTTGGACACAGCACGACACAACGATTCTGAGTTGTTTTGATCGGTTAGATTCTGTTTGATTAAGTCGAATAACCAAAAATCACATGGTGATAAATCAGGAGAATTAGGCGGATGTGGAATTATTGTAATACCTTCAGACTCGAGGTAATTCGACACATCCTTATGAGCATGTGGTCGCCCGTTATCATGATGAAGTTTGATACCTTGAACACCACATGAAGGTCTTTGCTTCCTGGTGTTGTTAATGAGTGGTTTTAAACAATAATCAATGTAATATTGATGGTCGATAGTTTGCCCCCGTTCCACATAATAAATCAAAACAGGACCAGTAGATTTAAAATAGATGCTAAATAATGTTTTCGGAGAAAAAATACTTTGTCGAACTACTGTAGGTGGAGGATCACCTCTCGCAACCCACGCAGAATTTGATGATTTTCGGCCAATTTGTTTGTGATGGAACCAGGACTCATCACCCGTTACCACATCACATAGCCGCCATGCATCTGATTCGAATTTTGCCAAGTTCTCTTGGCATATTCGAACTCGTTCAGCTCGTTGAAAATCAGTCAGCTGCTTGGATACATAACGAGCGGTAATTTTTCTAAGGTCCAGATGATCAGAGATTATTCGTTGAATAGTGCCATGACTGAGGTCGATTTGTTCTTGCAGTTCTTCTATTGTAATATACGGATTATCATCGATAATGCTTTGGACAAGGCTTTGGACTTCTTCAATATTTTCAGATGTGGTCGTAGTAATAGGTCTTCCAGATCGTGTTTCGTCTTTAATCTCTTCTCGACCTTCACGAAAATATTTAGACCATTTCGCAACAGTTCTAAAAGAAGGAGCTTCGTCGCCGAAAACAGTACATAATTCATCATGAATAATTGTTGGTTGAATATTAAGTGCAGTGCGCACTTTAATGTAAAATCGAAAATTTTCCTTATCCATCTGAAAAGAAACACGCGCCTTTCTCTACATATACACACACATATCAATGACTAAGTGTCAGAGAAGAAGAGAAAAGAAAAGTAGACAAAAGAGGAGAAGAATAAAGAGAATAATAATAAGATGATACATGTTGAAAAACAAAATATGATCTCCTACAACCACTGCACAACCAGCCGAAATAGGTTTTATAGATAATTTAATATTATAATATTAATTGAAGTATGATCAAATAGTATAGAAAGATAGAGCTTTTTTTTCTCTATCATCCTATATAGAAGAAAAATTACTTAAGCATACTAAACGATATTAAACTGTCACTGCCCGAACTTTTGGTATGCCCTAAGTACAATAAAATTGATATCATTATGTTCTATTGAAATTCATTTATTTACAATGCTATGCAAGAGTTTAATGCATTAAAACGATTATTTTTTACAATGTAATGCATCAATTTCTAATGCATCTCAATGCGTTATGTACAATGAAATATCTTAGCTTATGATTTATGACAATGTATTAATACGCTTTAATTTACAATGATATTCATTGGATGATATTATATAAAAATGAATTATTTTACAATGAAATTTATTAAATGATGTTATTAAAATTCACTTCGTTACGATTCATTACAATGCATTATATTACAATGAAATGTATTAGTTTACGATGCCTTAACACGTATTAATTTAGCATGAAGTTTAGCTTCTATAGGATGCTATGTTAAAATGCGTTGATTTACCATGAAACTAAATGTACGATATTATTCCCTCTACTGAAAGGAGGGTCATACACCGAGCAAAGTTCGTATGTTCGTAACTTCGTAACTTCGTAACTTCGTTCGTTCGTTCGCACAGAACGAAAAAATGTTTCTTTAACCCTTGTCAAGACGAATTTTTCACGAATTCCTAGCTATAGCCAAGTATAGTTTGACGAAAGGTTTTCGGGGTCCAGGAATTTGAATCTGTGATTAGTTTTTGAAAATTTTTCATTCTGAATTTTTTGGTAAAAAAATAACTTTTTTGCCAAAAAAAAATTGTTTTTTATAAAGTTTGACCAAAGGTTTCCGGGGTCGAGGAATTCAATTCTGTGATTAGTTTTCGAAAATTCTTCATTCTGATTTTTTTGGTAAAAAAATAACATTTTTGCAAAAAAAATTGTTTTTTATAAAGTTTGACCAAAGGTTTTCAGGGTCGAGGAATTCGAATCTGTGATTAGTTTTTGAAAACTTTTCATTCTGAATTTTTTGGTAAAAAAATCACTTTTTTGCAAAAAAAATTGTTTTTTATAAAGTTTGACCGAAGGTTTTCACGGTCGAGGAATTCGAATCTGTGATTCCCTCTACTGAAAGGAGGGTGTTACGCTGAGAGGAGTTGTTACGTTCGTTCGTAAGTGTGCGTGTGTGTTCGTTCGCGCAGAACGAAAAAATGGTTTTTCGACCTATATCTAGTGGCCTACCTATAAAGTTTGACCAAAGGTAATCGGGCTCGAGGAATTCGAATCTGATGTTAGTTTTTTGAAATTTAAGTTTTTGCTTTTTTTAGGAGAGAGAAAGACTTTTTTACAAAAAGAAAATTTTTTTGCAAAGTTTGACCAAAGGTAATTGGGTCGGGGAACCCGAATATGTGATTAGCTGACAGGTGTTTTAGATGATTTCCGCTCGCTTTCAGGAATAGAAAGCTTCAATGCAGTCTGAGCTACCTTGGAAACTTCATAGAAATGATATCGGAATCGGTCACAATGAAGCTTTGCGCTCAGAATTTTTGGGTTAAATTTTACTGATGTCAAGCATATAAGTTTTATGTACTAAAACGAACTAAAATCCAGTATATAGTGTGTGGTTAATAATGACGTATGCAGAGAGTACATTGAAGCATGGAGACGGCTAGCCGTGAGTGGCGCCCCGGAGGGACGCCGACGAACGACTAGTCGCTGAATAGCAAGTTTTTGAAACAACCACATGTCTCAAATCCGTAGACTTACTTTCTACTGCTGGCTCGTTTTTGGGTGGAACTATGTTTAAGACGAAGAGAACAATGAACAAATAGGAACATCAATCAGAACGATCGGTATGTTTCTTAGAACAAGCATTTCTTCACTTTTCCGGAACACAGGCTTTTCAAATAAGCGATGTCAAAATAATGTAGGGTATCTTTAGAGAATTAAGATATCTGAATGAAGTACACTATATCATGGTAACGGTTAGTCGTGAGTGGCGCCCCGGGGGGGCGCCGACNTCATGCCAAGGGAAATATTTAAGTTTGGTTATTCAGTTAGAAAAGAAGCATTACTCTACCCATGTAAAAAAAGACGCCCAAAAAATCAGATTATAATCTATTATAATGGCACTATTTTAATCTGATTAAAATCAGATTTTTCAGCATTAAAAGAAAAAATTATTTTGACTTTAATCTTTTTTAGTCTATTATAATCGATTACCGAAATTTAATCCATTAAAACTGATTGTTAAATTTTGGTAATCGATTATAATAGATTAAAAAAGATTAAAATCAAAATAATTTTTTCTTTTAATGCTGAAAAATCTGATTTTAATCAGATTAAAATAGTGCCATTATAATAGATTATAATCTGATTTTTTGGGCGTCTTTTTTTACATGGGTATAATACGACTTCTACCTATCAATATGAACAGTTTTGAGTATGATTTCATGTCTTCGCTGTATTATTTTTTCGCGTTTTCTTCACGTGAAAAGAGAACTAAGTCAGAAAAAAACAGAAATTAAAAGAAAAACAAGCGGACAAATAGTGATTGCATGTGACTGTAGATGACGTTATGAATATGCTTGACTAATTTCGACTAAAACGATATCAGGACACATTGTATAAAAAAAAAGAGTAGTAAAAAAAAACATGTTTTTGTGTGACAGTGGGCTTTTGAAAAAAATATTTTCTTGTGGTATGAATCAATAAAGAATATTTGTGTGTGTGTGGAGAAACTAGTAACCTAAGCAGAAATGCAGTGTCTTTCTTCGACTATTAAATTAGTTTTGTGTATCAATAGTCCATTCTTTGTGCGAACTTTGTCGTTTCAGGTTGTACATCTAAAAAAGCTTCAGTAGATCGTAAAAAATTCTCGATATTGCTAGTTGTTGATTGGATTTGATATCTCTAATCATTAATGTTATTTATTGTATGATACTACATGGTTTATTGTTTTCAAAGTAGGCTTCATTGACACGATGAATATTATCTTATTTCATATAATGCTAACATGTTTTTGGATTGACCATAGGCGCAGAACAGAACCGGGCGAAAGAAAGTTATGTTGAATTTTTTGTTAATTTTTCTTTACAATTTTTCCATAGGGCTTCTCGTCATTCGTTATACTTCATGTTTACTATGAACTGTAAATATTCTCTGATGAAACGAAAAAACATGATTGATTTTAGTATTGACTGAGGGTGGGTGTGGGTGTATTCTCTGCAAAGACTCAGACCCACATTCACGCTGACACCCACACCCTCACACCCATACCCACACCCTCCCATACCCGCACCCACACCCACACCCACACCCACACCTACACCCACACCCACACCCGCACCCACAGCCACACACCCCACCCACACATAATCCGAACGTTCACTGTCTTCGTATCCGCACCCACATCCATCACTTCTTTGTACCAATATCCATGCCACGCACTCTCACTTTGCATCGCAGACAACATGTTTAACAAATGTTTCTCTTTGCATAGAATGCGGGATGTGGATGTTTGTTGGAAAAAAATATCTATATATGTACCCCGCATCTTATTCTCAAGATGCTGTGGTATGTTTTCAATTAAAATAAGGAAAATTATCGATTACTGCATATCTAGTTTTTGCAACTAAAACCGTATAAAGCGTAAGTCTGTAAATATAAGTTGTTAGTTGATTAAATAAGAAGTTTGTTCACTGTCTATGTTTTGTCAAAACGTTTTATACCTGCCAGTCATAAACCTCGACGATTTCTTTGTGACCGCCCTCTTTTTGTTGTCGAAAAAAAATTAAATTATTCTGAACGACGACGTCGATGACCTTTGATGACACAAGGGTATTTTGATGGTATCGTTTAACATTATTATCGAGTACATAACAACAGGTATTTTCTTTCTCACGAAAAAAGAATAACCAACCAGATTCATTCGGTAAACTAAACAAACGCATATTCAAAGGCGAATCATAGTAATATGTTTGTACACGGTGAAGGGTTGACATACCGTGGTTCTTTAGCTCAAAGTAGAACTCATTTATCGCTTTGCGTCCAGAAGAAACTTTGGCTAGTATGAGTGCATAATACAGGTCATTCATTCGAATACATTTTATTTTATTTCCTGACTCACATGAGATTGGTGGACGCCAACGAACAGGAAGTTGTTTCTCAGTGTGCCATTCTCTATTGTTGGCTGTCCACCTTTCAATTATGTCTTCGCGAACGATTACGATATACTGTTTAAAACATGTTAGGGTCGTGATGCTGCAATGCGAAATAGAATTCGAGGCTACTAATTTTTGTGAAATCCCTTCATACTTTTCCTTTAGCGGATCAAACTGATATAGCCTATCAGTTTGATTGTATTGATTGCTATTCGTTAACACAAAAAAAAGTTTTAAATGATTGGACCAATATAATTCGGTAGCGCCGCTTATCGAGTACAGGCTTTGCCATGAACCATCACCGGTATTTAGAGCAGGTAATTCGTTTTCAGAATAAAATGGAATCAATTCATCACTAATCGGACACATCCGACCAATTTTTATTGGTGGAAGAGTCATGGATATCTTCGGCTTTTGAGATGTAAGAAGTTGATCAAGAAAGCAAAAAGACGGGGCAGAACGAGAAGCTGGTTGAACGATTAGTTTCACTAAAATTAATTCATTTGGAAGCTCATTGATGCTAATTTCAATGGGAAAATTTTCAATATCATGTTTCAGCTGTTGAAATTTATGTATTAACTGATCAATATCATTTTCAAAATAATTTTCATTTTCGCGTAGTATATTTATTTCATCAGATAGCTGCGCAAATTGTTTCTTCAAGTTGTCATATTCTTCCAAAGCCATTTCCTGTAGTTTTTGACGTGCACACGCAGCTGATTGTTTTATTACTTCAGTTGCATGTGATTCCCATTTGTTGACTGCTTCTAGTTGTGCCCTGACATTACCAGACCACTGGTGCTCGTGAGGTGCTGTAACTATCTCTTGCAATACATTTCTTTCATTGACAACTACATTCTCGAATAAACCGAACAAATGCTGTCGATGCTGCACCATGTGTTGAGAGCAGAAGTATTTTTGACAGCCGAAACATAATAAGATACCTGATTTTGGTTTTTGTTCAGCAGCAACTGTTTCACACGTAACACAAAGTTTCAATGGAGAAGCGCATGCCATTGTTTCTTACAGAAAAATGTATGCTTTTTTATGGTATGTTCTTTGTTTTGCAATAACGTGTGACTACGAATGGACGAGCAGAGAAATGAAAATACAATTTTCAACTTCGAGTGCGTTATTTTCTTTTGAAGAATATAATGGGTAAATACCAAAATAACACATGATTACCATGACTACTTCTCATTGGCAAACATGAATAAAATCAAGCTTAAGTTTAATAAAATTATTTCTAATTTTTGATTGATTATTAAGTGAGCAATTTCATTAATTAGCTGTAAAACGATCAAATTAGATAGTTAACTTTTAAAGATTTGGTCAATGAGATCGCATTTAGAAAATAAATTGTTTTATAAAATTTTAATCAAAAGTTACTTTGTTAAAAGAAAAGTTAATGCCATTCGTAGAGGGCGTAAGTTTTTTGTTCAAAATTGACATTTGATCTCAAAGCATGTGCTGGGCTACATAGAGGACGTGAGATTTTAACCTGAAAAGTCTATTGATTTGGGTAAGACTTGGCTCGTTTACAGAAAGCTATATAAAGTATGAAGAAAAGGCTGTCTTTTAATAGTGATTATCAAGTTTAATATGAGATGAAATTAGAGTCCTGTAGTATAACCCTACCCTATATGGTAGGGCAGGGTTAGGGCAAGAAACGTTAGGATAGAGTAGGGTAAGGGTAAGAAAATTTAGGGTAGAGTAGGGTAAGCATGGTTCAAGTTGTTCTTCATATAGCTAAGAGTTTGTTGGTAAAGAACATATTATAAGTGCAAGTGAGAGACTTTTGCAAGAGAGAGGACAACATTTGAGTCACTCTCGTTCTCAGAAAATCTCTATTCTCGAAAAATAGTCGAGGCTGAGTTGTTATCAAAGGAAGATGCATCGAAGTTTCCTCTCTGAATATATATGGGCATGAAAAGTCACTGGGATACCCCATTTTTGGTACAGTCCTATTGTAAGGATAAAAGATACTATTGTCCACGTCATATGAGAGAGGATCCCAGATAACCCTGGATTGGCCTGAACAACACGATGTTTTATCCTTACAATAGTAGAGAAAAGCTACCAGCTTATCGTTTGAGCTAGTAGCTTTTTTCTACTATTGTAAGGATAAAACATCGTGTTGTTCAGGCCAATCCAGGGTTGTCTGGGATCCTCTCTCATATGACGTGGACAATAGTATCTCTTATCCTTACAATAGGACCGTACCAAAATGGGGTATCCCAGTGACTGTTCACGCCCATATATACAGTAAAACCTCTCTAAACTGAACACTGTCGGGACCGACGGAAAACGTTCAGTATAACGGGGTGATCATATTAGAGGGGGGTAAGCAAAAATACATCTAAACATTGATTTCATTGCTTTTCACGTGCCCTACAGTCGTTTCANTTCAAGTAAATGAATAGTATAACGGTTCTTTGATTGATTCTATATTGTGTAATCCACGACATTTTAATCTATTGTACAAAATATTTTAATAATCGCTAAAGCTACATTTAATCTAATTATACCCATAGATGCAGTTTTTCACGGGCTTTAATTTGGTATAAAAACCTTCTGATATTATCTGTCACTTGGGTGGTGTAGGGGGGGAGACAAAGGTTATGTGACACCCTGTACTGACCACTTAGAAAATGGAGGAAAATCCAATAGAACACAATTTGGAAGTTAGCGGTAATAGAATGACCTCTATTGACGCTAACAAATATATCCAGAACCTCTGTTAAGAAATACTTGACTGTTGATTGATCCAAATTCAGTTCTGTAGAAATGTAGCGTTCTGGATGATAGTTCTTCAAGTACCATAATGTAACTGCGAGTAAATTCATAGGACATAAATATGATCTATCGGCAACATCTGTTTGTTGCTCATATCAATGAAGAAGATATTTTTTAAGTGGTTCTTCACACATATCATTTAATTCTTGTACTTGTTCAACATCAAGTCCGGTATGTTGCACACAAGATTCATCACTTCGCTGCCATTCTGACCATGGACGTTATTCTACAAGACATTAAAAAAGCGATTTTTTAGAAATAATTACCAAATATTCTTAAAGCATAAAATAGTCGAATGACCAGCGCAAATATCAGCTGCGAAATCAATTTTACTTAGTGTCATCGAGCGTATGAAATTCTTGTTGAATCGAAAGTTGTTCATCTCGTATTTCTTGTTGTTGATCTTCGTCCATCTCTACAATACAGAAACTGCAGCTACCATGATGCCGATAATAATTAGTGTGTAAGTCAGATCTTCCTGAACCATTGCATGTCCATCGTAACATTGAGTGACAAACAGCACAATATTTTCGTTGATCAGCTATAACTGATCGGCATTCAGAACAACTCCATTCTATGCGTAGAGAAGACATAGTAAAGATAATATAAGTGAATGTGCACAAGTGAGATAAGGTCGAAGAAAAGAAAACAGTGATCAAAGTGAGGAAAATCTGATAGACACAGAACGAGAAATGTGTGTGTAACTGAAACACATAGAGGCAATAGAATGAAGAATTATTGTGCATAAGTGTGTACCGAAAACAAAATGTTAATAAATTAAATGCAAAATACGTTTAATACAAGGATCATAAGAGAACATTTAATAATCCTCATTCCTTGCGACATATAGAGCTCAAACAATAGCGGATCATTAGGGCTACATATGTACTACAACTGATAAAAAAATCATATTTTCATGATAATCTGTTGAAGCTGTATAAACAAATACATTTGGGGTATCCTAGTAACTGTTCACGCCCATATCTTTAAACATAAGAAACCGAATTGCTCTGTTAACCATAGGATGATGTGGTAAATGATCAAGTTAAATAATTTAACTTGTATAACATAAACCTTATACAGCTAGATCTTTTCAAGAGAATTTCAACTCGAATAGTTATAGCTATTGACAACAGTTGGAAATGAAACAATAAAACATGTTTCGCTAAGAGACGATATCAAATAAAGTTTTTTCCTTATTGCCTTAAAACGAGTGTAAACACGTTTTCACAAAATTCGTTTCTTTTCAACTACATTTAGACGCGTTTTATCAATGTCAACATTCTTAATTTTTATTGACTTCAAATGCGTTTAAATGAGAGTATTCATCCATATGCGTTGAAACGCGTCTTATATTTCCAGATATGAAACGCGTTCAAATATCGAACGAGGTCCGATGCAGCTGACCATTTAAACGCATCTAGATGCATCTATAGGATGTGTTGGAACGCGTTTATTTACTGTTTTCTTTAATAAATGCGTCCAAACGCATTTAAAGCGCATTTCAACGCGTTTTTCTCGCGTTTCATTATTACATGGGATGTAAGACGTTTTTGACGTGTTTTTCAAAAAAAAATGTTTTTTCAGAACTTATGTTTTAAGAAAATGTAAAGATCGATCTTTTCATAGCATCACATTTTCTTTGTGATTGCATTCCTATCGTCTGGACGATGTAAAATACAAGCGATTCTTTTAAATAATTTGAAAATTCGGTATCCAGCTTATACTTCTGTTGTGTCCACAGAATTGTTAAAATCGAGCTCATGGAGATTGTTCATATCCTTGCTCAGCTGGCTTCCACATTCACCTGATTCTAAGAGATTTCTAAAGACTTCCAGAGATGTCAGGGGTTAAAACTGCTTTTCTCCCCCTTGCGGAGGGATCTACCTTTTGGAAGCTGTGAAAGATAATAATACATCTGACTGGCAATATATACTTGAAAAATTACATGATCATGTGGCTCTATCATCGGTCAGTTGAGTATTGAAGATGTTGACCAAGATAGACATCCAAAAGTGTTTGTACCTGTGTATGTTCGTGATACAGTATTAATTTAGCAACTTATTGATAGAGACAGCAATGCCAATCTATTTCTAATCTCTTATCCAGTACTAAGTGTTTCGATCATTTTTCTTTGTATTCTAAATTTTAAATAATTCATGTAGAGTGATTTTCATATACTGTTTTTCAAGGTTGTCAGTGAAGATTTAGATATTCACTTGAACGATATACAGTAACATTCAACCTGTGAGCGATAAGAAAAGTAGAAAAAATAAACTGTTTTCTATAAAGAAGAAAAATATACAGTTATTCTTGGTCTATCAAAGAAATTGAGTGAAAAATGAAACAATAAAGGTATATGTTGAAGCGAGTTGGCCAAATTCAGTTCAAGACACTTCATTGACATTTAGAGTTTCTTCCCGATTTGAATAGTGTAGAGTAAGTGAGATATTTGTAATTTGTTTACTTTGTTTTGCTTTTGCCCAAAATTGTGGTGTGAAAGCAAGAAAATAGAGGAATGGTGTTCCAGCAGCAATATATTCAGGAATGCTTGCAAATGTAATTACCCAAATGATAGAACAAGTAAGTATGATGACCGTGCATGCAAGAAACCACAATAGAAAAATGATATTCGAATGTTCGAAAGCTTTTGATCGATGAATATAAAGATAGATTATCAGTATTGTATGAAGAATACAATAAATTGAGATGGAACCGAATGTGCCAATGGCGCCAATGTCGTGTACATTTTCACGATCATCAAGGCTTACAATTGCCATAATTAAAACAAAGATACCAGAGACAAATGCAATAATATGAATAAAAAATATTATAGCCCTATGAACAATTGTTTGAGATTGAAGTAGAAATTGAAGTCTACCAATAAACATGATTAATAGTTGTGGAATTAAAATTATAAAACCAGACATAAAATAATAATGTGCTTGACCTGTTCCAAGTTCAGATATTTGAGGTAAGTTTTGCCCTGGTTGAATATTATTCGGTATTTGACTACATATAATTAAGGTCAAAACAAATGTTAGAATTGAAGTAAATGGTAAAATAAGTAATATTCGAAACCAGATTAAAGTACCGCTATTCATCATATCGCATACAATACTGAGAAAGTAAAATAACAACATTAACTACATTCATCTTTCCTTATCGAATTATTTGCTGGAGAAATGAAAGAAAGAAAAATATTCGTGGTTGATACATCATTTCTATTGACATATAGATATGAAAAGAGAACAGCAGTGTAATTTCATAATAAGAACTCCTTTCAGATTTTCGTTTTACGATATAAAGAAATCTGCTCATGAATGTCTTCTAATTGAGTATTTTCAACAATGCGAGTGAGTTCGAATATAGACTACGACAATAGAAAAGCTCATAGCACACTTTTGATCCGTAGTCCTCTTCTTAACTAGAGAAGTCGACATAGAAAATATTGAATTTTCAACAGTGAAGGATAGAAAAAAAACTTTAAAAAATTACAATTTATTCATATGATCTAAGCCACGTTGATGCAAAATTTAACTTCGAGAATAAGTTTTTTCGTGTATTAATTAAATGTGGTCTAAAATAAGAAATGATGATTTAACGTATAAGACATAATTTTTGTATCGTATTTGATGTTACATATTTTTTGAAAGACAATCTAAAGTGAATCTTGAAATATAAATCAACCTCAGCTGTATTGTTGACTTCTATTCGAAGTACTTCTTAGAATTTCTTAACCAAATTCGAGAGACGAATCAAGGTTCCACATGTTAGACCTCATCTATAGACATAATTTGTCTTATTTTGCCGCATTTTTGTTCATGGTATACATGAAGTTCTATCAGAAAGAGAGCAAATACAGATTTTATCCTTTTGAAATCAACATATGCATTATTCTTCATTTTTTTACATTTAAAAAACTCCATGATAAGTAACAGTATGTATCAACAAAATAAATTTACTTATACTGCTTTTCACATGAGTTCTATTCAGAGTTTTCTTATGAGTCAGAAAAAAGGCTAATAAAACTACTGTTTTTTTTTTCATGCAAATGAGCACGAACAATAAAGGAAATCTAAGACTTCAGTACTACTAAAAAATATTTATTAAATAGGACAAAAGTATGAGTACAATCTCTCAGGAAACGCAAAAGCCAACACCTGCATGCCCACACCACACCCACTATACTAGATATTAAATGAGAAACGCTCAAATCATACATTTCTTTATTATATTTGGCTTCTTTAAAATAAACAATTAAAACGATTAAAAAACAATCTCGTGAATTCTATAATATCCTATCTATAATCGAAAATTCAGTTTAAGTTGAGTTTTTAGATTTTACCTGAAGTTAATGATATGTGTCGATGATCATATTTAATCATACGCAAGCATCTTCATATTATCATTAGACTGTGAAAAGTGCGGTACATCATCTCAACAATTATTTGTTAAGTAAAGAAATTTTATCGTAAATGAATACTTGTTTGTTTGTTGCCGAACAGTATACTAGGTCATGATGAATATTTACTCAAATTTTGACTTCTTTATCTTTTTACGACTGCTGAAATTATGTTATCAAATTTCATCACAACAAGAGAAGTTTTTACTTACACAGAATATTAATAAATGTGAATGCAGACGAATGTAACAACCACAAGAATTCATTCTAAGTAATTATTGTTTATTATACGCAGCAGATGTTTTTTTGTCGATCTTGTTTTTGAAATTGCTCAAGTTTTTCACGAAAACTAAATAGACATGGAAGATGGTTGTCAAAGTTGCAAACAAAAAGAAATAAAAATTTGGTAAAAAGTCATTCAATATTGTGAAATTAGCACTGCAAACATAATGAATGGATTTGCAAATTAGAGAATAATATTTCTACTTTCATTTCATATATGAATCATAAGAAGTTTTTGAATTTTTTCGACTTCATAGGTTAGATACATAATAGATGTTCTCACATAGTTTTTAGAGTATTCTTTTTATAATATATTAATTGTATATGAGAGATCGAATGTTGTAGAAACATATTCTTCCTTCTAATCTGATATCTGCTACAGGTGAAAGTTTTGCATTTTGTTGTTTTCATTCACCGCTACTATCAGAGATCAATTTAGAAAAAGCAACCTTCAATAGATAGCAAACACACAGTTTATGAAAAAAAATCATTACCAAAACAAACTAGATCTGAGCATTTGATAAGTAAATTTGTATATCGTCTCATGATGTCTTAAGCAAGAAAGGATCAAATAAATTTTAAGTCCTATATTAATATAGATGTTTTCGCTCATTGTAGATGAAATTTTACACAAAATAATCAACATTCTTTTCATCTAACTTGAAGTACGAGAGAGAGAGTAGTGAGAAGATAATGATGCTAAATTTCAAAAAGACCCTCGAATATACAGAAAAATAAATAATCCCATTCATAGTTATAACATGACGATAAGAAGGTATTTCCAACGCTCTATAGCATCATATCGGAATGAATTGTGTCAAAAGTCTATGAAGAAAACCATCAGAGAAGACAATATTGCACTTCACACACGGTAGTTGAAGTAAATATTAATATTTATATTGATATACATCGATGAATACAGTGAATTTTTATCAAGAATATTTTCAGATAAAAAAAAACAATATGTCTCGTATTTCGACTCCTGCCAAAGTTGTTATGAATCAACAGTTGAATACAGTGGAAGAAGAAGAAGAACAAGTTGAACAATCAGACATCGTTCGTGAACATGAAATGGGCTATAAACAAGAACTGTATCGTGGCTTTTCACCACTTATGTCCTTTGCCTTTTGTTTCACTAGTGTGAATGTACTCACATCCATGTCAATTAGCTTTACCTATGCATTACACACTGGTGGGTCAGCTGTAGCTGTATGGTCTTGGCTCATTGGATCTATTTTTACAAATCTTGTCGGTCTTTCATTAGCTGAGATTTGTTCTGTGTATCCTAGTGCTGGTTCTGTCTATTATTGGTAAATAAATAGAAACAACTGTTGATAATTCTTGGAAAATAATATGAGTTTATCTTGTGTATAGGGCCGGTCAACTGGTACCAATTCAATACGCGCCATTATCTTCATTTATTTGCGGTTGGTTTAATTTTGTAGGTAATGTAGCAGGTAAGAAGAGATAACAAAGTTTTGATAAACTTTTATTTTCGCATATATTGAAGCAAATGCTGCATTTTCATCGGGTTTTGCTACCATTGTCAATGCTGCTCTTATTCTTGACGGCAAAGATTCGTTGAGTACAGGAGCAGAAGTGGGTATCAGTATAGGAATTACAATTTTATGGGCCATACAAAACACATTTCGTATTGATCAACAAGGATGGCTCAATAATGTTGCAGCTGCCATTCAAATAGCTTCTACCATTGGTATTGTAATTGTTCTATTCGCTCTGGCACCTGAAAGAGCTTCTGCTCAACATGTTTTTTTATCTACATACAATGCTACAGGATTTCCACATCCATATATGTACTTCATTGGAATCCTTACAACACTTTTCTCATTGGCTGGATACGATGGTAATTCTTTTATGGATTTAAATTGTTATTATTTTAGTGCGCCTTATAAATTTGATAGCTGGTGCTCATTTGGCCGAAGAAACTAGAAACGCAAGTCGCTCAGGTGAGTAAAGTACAGATAATAGTAAAAAGAACTTCAAGTGAAATGCTATGTAAACGAAAAAGAAAAACACACTTCCTCTTTAAATTCTACGCTCAATTATGAATTCGATCTATTTCTAGCTCCGAGAGGAATTATGGGCACATGTTTAACCGGTTCATTGGTCGGTGCTGCTTACTTGTTAGCTCTTCTCTTTGCAATACCGGATATACCATCCTTTGTTGAAACAAATAGTAGTAAAAATTCTTCAATCAATTTTGCAGTGGCAACCTATCGACTGGCTGTACCTCATCGAGGTGCACTTGTATTAACAATTCTTCTCATACTTAATATTTACTTTGCCGGTATATCAGGAATGACGGTTACTAGTCGAATTGGGTATGATATGATGTTTGTATTTCTATACAACAATAGAGAATGTAGAATAAGTAACGTAGTGAGGAGATTTTCATGTTCTCTCAATACGACATTGACATACAGACAAGTCCTAGAAAAATAAGTTATTCATTTTCGTTCACATAATATTTTATAATCCTGTGTTATTTTAGTTTCGCGATGGCTCGTGATGGTGTATTTCCGTTGTCATCTTATCTCCGTTGGATTTTTCCGCGAACGAAATCACCTTTGGCAACTATAGCTTTAGTCATGACAATGGACTTTCTTCTTCTTTTACTTCAGCTGGTATCAACCACTGCATTTTCTGCTATTATATCAATTGCTACACTCGGATTTCAATTGTCTTATGTTTTGCCTATTATCTTTCGATGTACAGTTGCTCGAAAGACTTTTCCTATCGGTGACTTCAATCTTGGTCGATACGCTGTACCCATTGCTGTTCTCTCAGTTGTTTGGCTTATTATTACATCAGTATTTATGTTCTTTCCTGCCAAGTATCCTGTCACGAGTGACAATATGAACTATACTGTCGCAGTTATTGCTGGTATAGCATTGATTGCGGCCACCTACTGGATATTTTCTGCTCGTCATTGGTTCAAAGGTCCTAAACGATATCATCATGATTCAAATTTGTTTCAAACGTTTTCTCTTGCTACAGTACATGGTGAGAAAATAATATTTCTAAGTTAATAGTAAACTTTCTTTACGTTTTATTTAGTTCAAAGAACAGAAGAATAGTCACAACAATCGATAGCAATATATAATTAGTGGAATTGGCATCGAACTAGAATATATATTTGTTTTCTATATGAATACTAGTGCTCAAAATAATTACAGAGAGAACGTTCTGGACAACGGACTTGTCATTACTACTACAAGACCTAATATTTCGACATGAGTGGGTGTGAATATACATTGATGATGGAAAGAAATTGCAAAGTGTGCCTTTGTAAAGCTTGTTTTGTTAACAGCAATAGCTGAAACAAATCAATAAAGACTGGCATATCACTTCCACGTTCGATTGATTTCCAAGTTTTTTGTTCGAACCGACCCATATTCCTCGACCTGGACTGGAATCTACTTTCTCTACCTTTTATAACAGTTAATACTAGTGTCAAACAGCTTTAGAAGGCTTATTCTAATCTAGTGAGCTGAGAATGCCGACTCAAACATAACTACTTGGCAATCATTCATGGAAAAACGGTCCGATTTTCAGAAACGATATTTAACATGCCTTCGAAACTCCAAACTGAGCTTTT